GTGAAATTTGCTTGTATGATGTGATCATGAATGAGGGCTATTCGTTCGACCGGTTCCCGAAATGATCGAAGTAGTTTAGGAATGCCGAACTGAAAGTATTTGAATTGCTGTACCTGGGTAATTACTCAGTCTGATGTATGAGTTTCTTTTAATTTTTGCATTGCAATGATTTCCGATGTTTTTGCGGGTCACAAACAGAGTTAATCAAGTCACGACTTCTTAAATGCAGCAGTGTTCACAACTAAAATATGCATGGTTGGCAGATATCAATTACTGTTTGGTGTAGTAATCTTTAACCATGTATGGGCTTTCTTCCGTTATAAACTGTACGTGTGGCACGCGTGTTGATTTGGCGATCATTTCTGGGCTAAGGATTCATTTCGGGACTGCCGAATCATTTCAGAAGAGAGCCTTACAGCTCCTTCTTTACTGGCAGTCAATAGCGTTGCGGCGACAAATTTTATCCTCCCAAGGCAAAATGACAAACTGTCATTCCATTTTTTCAACTTGAAAAGATTCTCTTCACCTTTCAGACGGTAAAAGACTAAAAGAGCGGTGATGACTTCGAGTTTGAGGCTGTGTGGACTCTCTTACCTTCCCCTACCCCGGCCCCCTGCAACCCTACCCCCTTCCTCTCTGCAATCGGTCGCCCAGAATCAATTTTCTCGAGAACTATATTTTCATATTTTCGAGTACAGAATATATATGCCGAGGACAGATACGTTGCTAACCTAATCGAACACAAGTATCTCCACTTCCTTCTAAATTCTTTCAACGCTAGATATGGGAAGATCCAACACTAGTTATGACGATAAAATGTTAATTAATGCGGTGTCTATGGAAGATCGTCTCACTCAACAATTGAAAACGCTTTCAATATTAATTAAAGCGCCTTTTCCGTGTTTCCTATCTGCCAGTCCTTTCCTATTTATTAAACGACAAAAACGTATAACTTATAAACAATCAGTGAGAAAAAAACTACCTCTTGTGCACTGCAAAGGTTTAGCATAAAATTACTCTATGAACTTGCTCGGTCGTTTCTCTGGCTGATAGGCCAGCATTGTTATCTTGCTCAAGATCACATCGGGTCAGCATCAGCGACATCCACATTCCTCAACTACCATCTCTTTATAGAAGTGCATGCTAAAGTTGTTATCATAATATTCGATAGTGCTCATTCCTGTCAGCTTTATTGGGACGCAGCACGGTTCACCACTTCCCTGGTCCGGTCTTGAAGAATGCAAAATTGCTTGCATGATGGCATAGTTGCTTGGATTTACCTTGTAAAAATAATGGAACTCGTCGGTCAGTTTTGGATCCCATCGAAGTTGATAAAGGGGAACGGTTATGAAGCCCAGCAAACTTCAAAGGAGAAAACAAGGATACTTAGAGTGTTTTTTAGAAGGTTCACGACCGTGCACAATCTTTGTTTTACGCTCATACACTAGGCATGAATTACGTCACTGAAACGTTCCTAGTAGTCTGTTTCACAGGCAGACGTAAACACCTATGGTGTTTTGCAATGCACGGTCAAGGCCAAAGGAGCGAACAAAACACAAACAACAAAGAACTTTTGTTGCGCCATTCCCCTCATTTAAATACGATCCTACATTGCATTTTTTTTTTTTTTGAGAACTCATGACGGTTTTGAGCAACGTGAATGTTAATTTTGAAGTCATGAATGAAACATGAACTCTTGCGCACTACACTTAGTAAAGGTAAAGGTAAAAGGGACCCAGCTTAGCTTAGATAAATAAAATATGCCCTCTACTAAGTTAGCTGCGGATGATTTCGATCCATCTTTAAATTACCACCATTCAAAGCGACTTGCCAAGTAGGCTTTAAGTTTGCCTACACTAACAATTTAATCATATACATTTGGAATAGGTGGAGAGACTCGCGCACAGCGAAAGCATACTGTAGAGCTTTGGCCAAGACTCACAAAACACACGTGGATTAAAGGTACGATGCAGTACTTTTTACGCTGCTAGACCATTAGTTAGGGCATGTTTACAAGGAGAGAGCCTTTCCCTAGCAAGTGGCCTAGCAAGCGGTCTAGCAAGCGGGTTACCCTAGCACTCATACATTTCCTCTTTTTTTCTTCGTCGTGTTTACAAGGCAGCCAGGGTTACCCGGGTAGGCAGGTTACCCTATCTGCGTGTTAGGGTTGCCCTGGCAGGCAGATTAACTTTTTCCCTTGTAAACACTCCAGGTAGGGTTAACCCACCTACCCGGGTTAACTTTCTACTTGTTTCCAGACCCTTTGAGTGTAACCGCGCATTAAGTTGTCCCGGGTTGTAGGGTTACCCTACCTGTGAAATTGTGTTGTAAACCCAGGCTATCTTTTGCCCTCCAGCTACGGTTAACCCGCTTGCAAGGGTAACCCTCCCTCATTGTAAACAAGCCCTCAAACCCTGAAGCAACTTACCTTCTTATGCAGCGGAAACTTACAGTCTCCTCCACACCTGTAGGCGTCAAAGAACTTAGGAACAACAACACCTTGCCAAAGAATATTTTTTGAGATCTCAACCCGCATAGGACGCCTAGAGCAAGGTCCGCGGTCATGAATGGCACGAGATGGTCTGGACTTTGGTTTTAGGCCAGCCATTTGCTTATAACTGCAAAATTATAATGTATACGCTAGTTAACATAAGCTACTGATCCTTCGTTTGAACTTCAAAGCATTGGTCCGTTATAATTAATTTCATAGTTTTATTGGCCTCTTAATTATGCACCTATAGTGCTAAAATGGCGCACTGAGGTTTTTGAATTGCATGCTTTTAACGTTAAAAATTCCTTTGCTACGTTTAGAAGAGCCAGTTGTAAAGAGCAGTAGCATATGGAGTGAATAATGTCAAGTAGATCTACCGCGTCTCTGTTGTTCTGTCATTGTTGTTGTTATAGATATTATCGTGTACTAAAGAACGTGAGAAGCTTGACAAATCATGCTTACCTTATTCGAAATGAGTCTGCATAAATCTTTTGTGGTTTGGACTGTATTTGCACAACCAAGAGTGGCCTGTTATCTTTTGCTTCACCTGTACAGTCGAGCATCACCTTCAGAGACTTTTCATCGTCCTGGTGATTTGAGTGTATCCTAATACATACACCTTGATTGGAACGCGGGAAACGAAGCCACCTTTTCACCAAAGGGAGCAGAGGAAACACGACCAACCTAGCCTCTCCCTCCTGAATCGCAACCGATTGTAGAGGCTTGTGGTTGAACTGATCATAGAGAACAAGGTTTCCGTTCGATGGGGCGAAGGGTGGCTGAGGACCAATAGTTTTGACCATTATTCTTATTCTGGCTGACAGGATTGTCTCATCGGTACGAATATGAAGGCCGCTCAGCTTGAAAAAAATACCGTTTCTTCCAGGAGTTGCTGAAAATAGAGTGACAATATAACATAGGTGCCAGCTTGAAAAATCTTATAACTCTGTCCATGCTTTATACCACGATTTATGTGACCAGTCCGGCTCAATGCTACTTCTGGAAAATTCATGAAACGATAGCGTGAATTAACAACATGGCGGTTGTCAACTTTTCCCTTGTGGAATCAACAACTGAGTTGTGGATTTGCCTTTTTCAAGTCTTACTGGAGTGCTTTACTTTCCTGTTAGTAACACAATTACAAAGAAGGCACTAATGCGGCGTTATGCGTTATATTGAGGAAAATGGTGGCAACATGTGTGAGGCAGTGAAGTTTTGCTTTCGACATGCATGCATATGCATTTTATTTATTTTCTTTATGCTTTGATCAGCTTCAATGTACAGTATCTCTATCGTGAACAATCATCATGGGCCTTGAAAACATTAAGAAATGTTCTGCAGTCATTCTCGTTGCTTTGAGACGAGACTGCTTGTAACCATGTTGTAACTGACAACGGTTTGGCCGTCTTTTCCTTCACTTTGATCGATAACTTGCCCGGGAGGGGGATACTCCCTTATATGAGCTATATAAAAAGGTAGTGCGGCCCCCCAAAATATGGTTTTTCAGCCGTTTTGGTCATAAATAGGGTATCGATTTTGGCCATTTTGGTCATAAATAGGGTATGGTTTTTCTACTCTAACCTTGAATTGGGTATGTTTTTTAGAAGAAGCTACTTATTCATCAATATCGATAAGACAATCAACAAAAGCCCCTCAAAAATTATGTTTAGGGCAACTGTGTCAGCCGCAACGGTCATAAATTGGGTATCTAATTTTTGGTCTGGCCATTAAATAGGGTAGGGAAAATCGCTGGTTTTGGTCATAAATAGGGTGAGAGTTTTGGGAAGCGGGCCGCACACCCCCGCCAAATTTTTTTTGGAGTATCTCCCGGGATAACTTGTTGGGTATGTAATCGACATTAAGGCCCGGTCCCCCCGGGCATCAAGGGACATGTGCATATGTGGAGGACGTGTTGGGACACAAGAGGATGTGAGTGATGCTAATTTTCTTTGTGAATCTACGAATGTCGCGGCGCACGATCAGTGTGTTTCGCTTATGGAACTCGGCCGAAATTCACTCTTTTAGCCCTCTATAACACTGTAACGAAATGCTTTGTCAGTTTTGTACTTACAAGAAATGAGGAAAAGAGTATGGAGGAAATGGAGAGATTTTACGAAAGAGTTTCGACCACAAGGTATAGGTCTTTTAGATTTCCTGGCCGGCCATGTAAAGTTCCCGTATAGTGTCTGACATAATGAGCATACTGTTTGGCTTAGATAGACCCCATGCTTTGTTCTGTTTTATTTTTTTTATTTATTTATTTATTTTTTTTAAATTTGAATTCTCAAGTACCAAGGTGAAGTTCACACGATAGTGCTAAATTAGTGATGCCATGCTACGTTACTCCGTCAATCCAGCGTGAATTGTTGTAGAATATGTGGATAGCGGAACTCGCACGCAAGCTCATAGCTTTATTAACCTGAACAAAAGCTATATCAAAACTGATGCAAATAATCTCATGAAAATAGACCTCGCATCTTGAGACCCCAAATGCGTGCGATGATTGGATAAGTCATTGTTTTGGTTCGTGAAACAAAACATTTTCAAAAGTGGCATTGCGCCTAACTGGTGGAACATGATGCTGAGAGAAACTGACCTGATTACAAACTGACTTTATTCTCGCCAATATGTAACACTCAACTTCGTAAATTTGCCCAATGATCTGTCATCACACTTCAAAGAACTAAAGAACCCATTTTTTAATACACAATTGATTTTTAGCGACACCCAAGAGCTAAATAGTGTTCCTCCACGGTGGTTACGCTACGCACGTGCTCGTAGCCAGAAAAAACGTGTAAAAACCGAAGCGGCCAAGGCGAGGCAAGCCACGCTATGTAGCCCGTTCTATAGGCTTGCGCCATGGGCGCAATATTATGTCACACTGAGTGCATTACGGCATCATCCAAAACCGACACAAGAAGCTATCAGATGCAGGCGTCAGACAACTCATGCCATGTTTAACTTGTTTTATAAGCGAGTTCAGACAGTGTGATACGTTTTGAGGGAAACGTATATGCCGACAAATTGAGCACCTAAGCATCAAATGTGCAAAAGCCCGAATAAACCCGGCCACTAGAGAACCCATGTTATGTTTTGCTCTTCCTACAAACGTGTGCAGACAAAATAAAACTACGAACACATGCAACACATATTTACTTCGAGTGTGAGGAGGCTCTTTATAGAAAGGAAAAACATATGTTTTTAACTTAATACTCTTTAAAGGACGATGCGAAGCGATCGAAAATTTGTCGCCAAAGGCCGGCGCAAGTAACGAATTCAGCGACTGGTCTCTAGACGTCTGCCTGTATTGTCGAGCGTTCGTTTTACACATGAGCCTAAACAGCATGAACATCATAGTATGCAATCGCGCTTTGTAAGCAGGGCTTACTCGGAAATCTTCTATAGTTGTTAAAGATGCGATGCAAGTACGATAAACTGACTTCCAAAACTAAAGTCGATTGCATCAATCGACTCTCGAGTTTTAGCCCAGACAGCTCTTGAATCATACTACTGACTTCGTCTGCTGCCATATTCAAAACCTCTCGGTAAATGCTTTAACAATTCCTTAAAATAAGATAGGTGTAGCGCATAGTTTTGACATTGCTGTTCAAACACGTTTATGCCTTTCATGTACTGCTGTGGCTCTGTGAAGAGGGAGAGCTAGAGAATTTGCCGATACTTGGTAAACATAGAAATGCAAATTAATCATGAGTATGCAACCTATGAAAGTCCACTAAACATGATAATCACTTGTCTATCTGCATTTATATCATCAACCTGAAATTGCAAGTAGTTAACATTCACGAACAGAATGACTGACTTGCCAATGATGGAATAGCCTGGAACAACAATGAACTCAGGCTGGCATTGACAACCCATAGCGGTTTAGGCTAACCAAACGAAGGATTAGGACATCTGTTTAGAGGCTAGAAAAATACAGTTTTTCTGTAAACTATTCTTGGGCTACTACCCCAGTGGTGAGACAGCGGATACCATGCACTATCCGGTCTTGGGTTACGATTTTTATTTTCACAACTCTACTGTGGGAACCAAGCTAGTTGTGTTTGAGCTAATGCTCTCGGAAGATTTTATCTTCTGTGACACACCCCAGCCTTCCTGTAGCCAGCTAGTTCTAACGGGTTTAGAAGAGTGCTTGCCTAGGACTAAAAGCATTATCGCAACCTCTAAAAGAGCCGTCTTTTTATTTTGTCGAGAGACCATGAATTATGGTACAACTTCTTGTCTAATCAGTCCAAGATCAAATACTTCTCTTGGCCTTCAAGTTGATGAAGTCGAGCTGCGCGCCTCACTCGATCACGCAGCTCTCTTTCCTCTGTTTGGGTAGTTACATGCTTGTGGACATATGATACCATAATCAACTCACTTAATTTATCAATATACCTCAATTCTCTCAGAAATGCGAAGTTTCTTTGATTTAATCACTGGCTAGAAATCGGAATGTTGTCAGTAGTCTTCCTTCTTCGAAAAACTCGGCGTCAGTGTCAGCACATCATAAGTGAAAGTGAAATTTGGTTGCAATGTTCCTATGTAGCTGCCCTATATATTAAGCATGTCTCCGAATTTTTCAGTATTGAATTCCACCTGGTTTAAAAGTTGTGACTTTGTTTGTAAAGGATACCCCGAGTGTTCGAATATCAAACTTTAGAATGGTATAATTAAATATAAAGAAAACAACTGATCTTTGAGAAATCGGAGACATCCTTCTGAAGTGCAACGTGCAACGAATCGTTTCAGATCAGCAATCATCATTGTCCCTATAATCGTGGTGTTAAATATTGTTTCGTTATGAAACATTCGTCATTCATTAAGCTATCAGGGAAACTGCGCTAACGTGAGGCGGTCAATAATGATACGTTTGAAGTCAGGCAGGCGTTCTCAGACAAAACAGGAACAGCTTAACTGCAGTCGTGAGTGTACCGATCTATTTCCACCAAAACGTTAAAATTAAAGGAGCGTTGGCCGGAAGATGTTCTTAAATAAAATATCACCAGATACACTTGACTACTCCTGTTTCTGGTTAGATGGCTTGTGATGGACTTAAGGAAAATTGTAAAAGTGATCTGATTGCAACAATTTAGAGACTTCATTTTGCACGTATCAAACAAAGTTGCGGAAATTGGCGAGAAACAAAGGTACAGTAGGCGAAAACAGGAAATCAACTCCGGCAAAGCTATTTTGGGCTTTGCGTTTGTCATGTTTTTACCCATTTATGTAAGTGGCAATTCGTCATTCTCAGTCAGAGGGTAAAACAAAGGAAGGCTAGAAAAAGAATTACTTCTAACACGAGGAATGATTTTCAGGAGGTCGCGCGTCCCGAATTGTTAGGTCTTGAACGGAATGAGTCATTCCTTGCAAGGAGGTCTGAAACTATAGAAGTTCGCGTTTTTTGTGTGTGATAAGGTGATGTTATCTGTTAGTCAAGGCCACAGCATATGTGTTCTAGAGAGCGCTAATGTGTTCAGTCTGCCCAAGTTATGCCAGGGTCAGTGTAAACAGCTAAGCCGCCTGTATCAGGTTAGGTATTGTAATTGAGATGGTTCCAAGCGATAAAGGTTTCAGACTACAGTATTGAATTCACTAAGGACTACAATATGAATTGTTACGAATAAAGCTGATGGGAATAATTTTTTTTCCAAACTGCTCTGTCCCATCATTTTGAAGAAAACAAATACAACATTTAGCTACAAGAAAATAGTGTTACTGTTTACATCATGACATTGATTTCAGCGACCATGATGCGAAGACATTGCTATAACTAAGGAATCACAAGTAAATGTATTTAGCTTGAAAGGAGCACCTCTGTAGCCTCTAATTAGATCCAGTTGGAACTAGAAAAAAATTTCTTTTACGAAGAAAGCAAAGTTGGCACATTCTGAGGATACGATTACCTTGAACAAACAACAAACTAACCTCCGCTTAGACAGCGCTGAGGGTAACGTCCTTAGCATATTAAACTAAGGTGGAACCAACATTACCTTGGCCCACAATGGAATGAACAGTGGCAGGGATCCTTTGTGGGTTTCCCTCCGCAGGCCCATCATCTTTGGCATATGTTCGATACAAACCCATCACAAATGCAGGAACGTCAAAACCAGGATGATTCAATTCTTTTGCCGGAAAAACTAATTCTCCAGCTGCACTTCTATTTCTCAAGGGAAACAGGGCTACCCTTTTGAAACCAAAAACAACTAGGAGAGGGAAGGTATAGCATATAATACGCAACATGATGAAGTGCTTAAAATGAAAAACGGAGGGAGCTGGTCTAAAATGGAACGCACAGGTCACGGGAAGACGTTGTTTGATGGGATGGCGAAATAAAGGTCTTGTTTTTGTCGATGCAGCCTGGATAAACGTGTATTACTCGTGTTTAGCCCTCCTTTGTATATATCAAGTTTCAAAACACAAGCTGGCAGCGAGTTAAAAACACGCCACCCCCTTGTTAGAGTAAACTACCTGGTGGAATTGAAAGACTTCCAAAAAAAGAAATTCAAGTAGCAACAACGGAAGCAATTTTGACTGATTTTTCCTAAAACTAAAACAATTTTTGCCATCAATCATGCAATAACCTCTCAGGAGAAGCCACTATATGATAAATGGAGCTGGCCCACACATTTAAATAAACAATAACTTCTAATTATGCCTCTAGCCTGGGCCATTATTTTTGAAGAATGGAACTAGAAACTACAGCAGGTTTTAGAGAAATGGTGACTTACCAGAAAAGCGCAGCAAATTCTGTTTTGGGATATGTTGCCGCTTTCCGGTGTTTATGGTAATTTCTGTTTAAAAAAAATCATTAATCGAGGCAAATGCCTTTACAGTCGACCAAGAACGAATGTATCTAGTTTACCTAACATTTTAAAATTTTCGGCCCAGAAGAAAGTAAGACTCAATTTATGGTCTTAAGTACTTAATCCACTGGGCTCAGTTGATCGTTAATGCATCGATTTTTGAGGGAAACTGGGCTGGCGCAAAATTTAAAACCTGAACATTTTTTTCTTGCAACATTATCTAATCATAGTAAAAAAAAAAAAAAATAGTAATAATAATAATAAAATAAAATAATAATAAAAAAATAATGACCTTCTTAAAATGCCACGTGGCGTGTTAAATGCCGACACTCCAAATCAACAATAATAACGATAATACATGATTCACGTTACTTGCAAATGTATGGTAGACCTGATACGGCGCCGTACAGAAAGAAGAGAGGCCTTGGGAACGAGGTTGGATCAAACGTTTAACCACAGAACACGGTCTAGAAGCCAAACCATTCTGGAAGTGTTAACATCAATCAGTGGTTAGAAACATTAACTGGCAAATTGAAATAATAAAAAAAAATAATGACCTTCTTAAAATGCCACGTGGCGTGATAAATGCCGACACTCCAAATCAACAATAATAACGATAATACATGATTCACGTTACTTGCAAATGTATGGTAGACCTGATACGGCGCCGTACAGAAAGAAGAGAGGCCTTGGGAACGAGGTTGGATCAAACGTTTAACCACAGAACACGGTCTAGAAGCCAAACCATTCTGGAAGTGTTAACATTAATCAGTGGTTGGAAACATTAACTGGCAAATTGAAATAGTTTTAAAGTTTCGAATGAGGCATGTTTCCACAGTCCGTACAGTTCGACATAAGTGAAGAATTAAAAATAAATAATAAAAAAACTGGTTAAAAAAAAAAATGCAAAACAAATGATTGCTTAGATTACTTAACTTTCAATTAAGGCTACCTATTCCACGCTGGCTGAAAGGATCGTGGCCTCTGGCGGGAGGTATCTACAATCCCGGCCAAACGTCCTTGGGGCACTTGGCAAAATGCCAACTGGTGGAACATTATTTTGNAAAAAAAAAAAATGCTATGAATGACTCAACATCAACATTGTATTGGGGCTGGGGAGGGGGAGGTGAACAGAAAGACCTTATGTTGGCAAAAGCGCAAAGTGTCCCAAAACTTTTGGCCAGGGTTGTATGCACGCACTGCGCACCTATGTTTTCTGATAGGGCTGGAGACTGGGCACAAAATTAATTCTGAAAATGGCGGACAAGGTAAGCGAAACATGGTCCGCATGAAAGCTTACAAAATCCAAGATGTTAACAGAAAGAAAAGGACAGGGATAGTAGCAGACAGTTTTGCCGATCTGAAGCAGAAAGGGATGAAAAAGCTGGCTATGACCACGGACTGTAGAGTGTATCTCGAAGATGGGACTGAAGTGGAGGATGACGATTATTTGAATACTCTACCTCTTCAAACAGTTTTTGTCTTTGCACGACCAGAAGAGACTTGGGAAGGATGTAAGTAAAATGGTAGACCCTAGTTTGCATGTAGACAGTTGTTTGTTTTGTGGAGAAAGCCAATAACCCTAACTCAATTGAGGATACCAATAACCCTAACTCAAGTTAGGATACTGTAGCCTTTGTTAGCCTTAGTGTTTCACATGTGCAGCTCAATGCAAGCTTGATTTCCTGAAACACAGTTGGAAACTAATCCTTCGAACGATGTACGCTTTATCGACAGATGTGACGGTTCTCAAACATGCTACTGAGAAGATTTTCAGGGCAATGTCACAACGAGACGAGATCATTGATCAGATTTATGATTTTATACATTGCTCTGAATCCAATGAGATGTACAGTGTCATGGTGGAGCTTGTCAATCGTTTAGAAGATAATATTAATGCAGAGAAGCGTAGTGAGGACGAAGCTTGGTTTGATGGACTTAAACAGTCATTTAACACCAAGGAGGAGTTTATGAGAGATGCAGCAAAATCAAGAGTTAGGAAGTACTTCTCCAATGCAAAGGAATCTTTTGAAAAAGTAAGTTCCTTTCTGTTGTCTGCACGATTCTTGCAATTTTTTTAAAGCACCTGGTTGGTGTACATATACCTCCCTAACCTGGGTTAGAATTAACTGGCCTGTGTAGTCCTTGGAGGTCTCCCCAAAGTTTTCGCTACAATGTACATGTACATGTCATGTATACAGTATTTATTTGTACGTAATGTGTAGCACATGGTTAGGATCCTGACTGTTAAAGCTAGGTGCCTGTTGGGGGAGTTTTGGTCACCACAAGGTGCAGACCATGCAGACTGCAGACTGCAGACTGTGCCGACCATGCAGACTGTGCAGACTGTGTACTTTTTTTTTTCTTATTCTTGTTTTTGCATTTACTTTTGACTTGCATATTTTGTGGCTCTGTTCAATTATATATCAGAGTGTTTGTTATCCACAGGCCATGGAAACTTGGTGGTATGTGACTGTTGATGTGTTATAGATTTTGCAAGGGAACTCCATTTAGTCCTAAATATGCTTAAGTAAAGCGATTTTAAAATGTAGAAATAAACTTCACTTTTATCTTGTATTATAATGTCACTCGTAACATGTGTATTTTGTACTCTTGGTGTACAAAATGTAATTCCAAATGGCTGTTGGAGTGTGACTGCGATCATGCCAAAAAAGCCTAGCACATGGGAAGATCACAGAAAACCGAATATCATTTGAAATTCTCAGCGCAGTACGGTTGCCGTGATGAGTTGATGCGATGGTTAATGTATCTGTACTTATGGCAGTTGTGTTTTTGTGGCGATTTAGACTATGAGTGGTCCCTCTTTCACTTAGTCCATTGTGTGTGATGCATACGGAAAACCTCGAGGAAAAAATTTCATGCGAGCATTTTTTTCCTCAAGGTTTACTTATGGTCACACTTAACTAAGCGAAAGAGAGAATACCCCTAGTCTAATGGCGATCCTGTATTTTGTGGAGAAAAAGCGATTTGTAGGACAAAGCCGCTTAGAGTCACCATCCTTGCTTTGTTTTATGAATCAGTTAAGAGGAGAACAAAGACTAAGAAAATCGAAAAAAAACCCATAACAACAACAACAACAACAACAAATTAGACAAAATAAATAAAACCACAACCCATCAAAAATTGACACAATATTTGCACCCAGAATGTATGTAAGTTTATTTTTATGCTTGGTTTTAGCATATTAGGACCAGTAAAGGGAATTTCCCATAGAAAGTCTCTTATTTGGGTGTGGACAAAATGTGATGTTGAGAATTGTGTTAGTGACTTTTTGTATACCCCTATTGGAGGGATATAATTTTATGCCAGCTAACTCGTTTGGCTCTTACTGATGTTTTGTTAATGTTTTTAAAACTCTGACCACCGGTAGACCATAGGGTAGGCCACAGGGTAGGCTATGGCCTACCCCATGTTTTGTCCACACCCCTATTAAACGCGTCAGTCAAAAGTCAGATGTTGAGTTTGTGCCACCTGTAGATAAATAACAAACATAAGGACATATTGAACACTATTTTGTCACTAGAAGCGAAAAAAGTGAGTCAAGTGTTAGAAAAAAGTACTCAGTCTGCACAGTCTGCACGGTCTGCATGGTCTGCGGTCTGCAGTCTGCATGGTCTGCGCTTTGGGGTGACTGGGGGAGTTCCCACCTTACTGCCTTCCAACCAAATGCTGTGGGCCACTTAACTTTGTTTTCCATAGCCAGAAGGCAAAGAAAGTCATGTCTGATAGCCTGGCGCTAGTGATTTTTCTGTCGGTTAAGTGTCCTTCTCATGTTCAGTACGGATGAGTGAAGTTTCTTGGGTATCAATACACTTGAAAAAATTACTCTACTCTAATGGGCTAAAATGGAGTGCAGTTATCATGTAACACTAGTGCAAACTAGAACAAAGATAGGCATAGTTAGTTGAAGGACACTCATAGTTGCAGGCAGTAATCTGAGGTATTTCGAGGGCGGACAAAGTTCACATGAACCCTTCCAAAGATTTTAAAATGAATATCTGCCGAGCACTTTGGAACACTTCCGACAATCACCTGAACCCTTTTGAAGGTAACCAAAGATTGCTGAAGATTACCTGAAGCTCACTGAAGACTTGAAAATTTTTTGAAAGTTTTGTGAGTACTTTTCGAATGGTTTAAAGGTATTAGAATACCAAACACACTGCAGGCTGCCTAACGAAACAATGTGTAGGTGTTAAATGGTATGTTTTTAATGTAGTATTACTACAAATTGCACTTGCCCTACTGGCTTGAGCAATTTTGTTAGCCTTCGAAAAATTTGCTTGTGCTTATGTACTCCAAATTGCACTCAAAATCATGTGATTACCTATTCAAATAACGTACCCCCAAAGTACGTTCAAGAACTGTTACACCGCTGTGAATCAGCAAGACCCCTTTGCTCATCCTCGGACAAATGGCTTTTCACTATTCAACACTATTACCTTATTACATACAGGTACAGGGCTTTCTCTCTTATGGCACCAAAACTTTAGAACAAGCTTCCAATGAATGTTAGAACAATCAGTTATATATTAACCATTTTAAAATTGAAATTGAATACCCATCTTTTTAAGTGAGCTTATAATTTGTAATTTCCTATTAAGAGAAGTAGTATTAATTTATGTTATACTATATAATATAAAGGTTAATTAACCTTTATAGTTACAATGGAGTAATTCAGCATTCATAATTTTCAAGAAGTTTCATTGTTTTTATAAAGAGTATTGAATATACTACTAGGTTTTAATCACTGTAAAGTGTTTAGGACAGAAATGTAGAAGTGTCATATTAAAGTTTATTTATTTATTTTATTTATATATTATCATGATAATTATTATTATTATTATTATTATTATTATTATAACTTGATTTTTGTGTTACTCTTAATTCATGACTAGTGAATTTTTTTCAACTTCTAAATGCACGTTGGGCATTATTATATATTAACTTACAAGCAGGATCTTTTGTTTGGCAGATGCAGCATCACCATTTTGGAAGGCCTTTGAGCTAGCTCTGAATGACTCCGAGTTACCTGGAGGGCAAGCTGGGGAAACCTGTTTCCTTTGCACCCTCATGCCAACCCCATGTTATGTCCCCACTTATTTTCTACAATTAGGTGTCACTTATTTGCAGAGGGTTGGTCTTACCGATAGTGGTATTTATTCATTGGGTACCCTAAAATACTTTAGCATATGTCTGCAGGAAAGTCTTGGTTCTGGCTAACTCCTTGTAAACATAAAATCTAATTTGCAGGCATCAAAAAGAGCTCAAAACATCCTTTCAAAAACTCTGGAGCAGTTTCAAGGTGAACTGAGAAAACAGCAGTATTATGGTGACTATTTTGCTCGATCTGCAAGTCAGGAGCTGCGTCTGTGCTGTGACAAGGGCTGGTTCAGTTGTGAGGGTCCTTATAATGAAGAAAATTGTTTCAAAATGCATAAGATCAACCCATATGGCAGCAAAGAAAGGAGAGTCCTGTTTAGTACATGGAATCTTGATCATGTGTAAGTAATGTTTACCTGAATCATGTTGTTCTGGAAAATATCCATACCCATCCTACAGAGGGTTTAGTGGTTTAAAGTCACCCCCTTCCCATCTCCTGAGGAAATTCCAGTTTATCATCACACTTTCCTTCAAAAAAAACTCACAATGTAACTTGTTATTGAACCCACCCCCACCCACCCCTCCTCCTGATAATTTGTAGTTACGCTTTCTTCAGGGTGGGTAGGAGTACTTTCTGTTATTTATTTCCTTTTTTGGGGGCAGGGCGGGGGGGGGGGGGAGAGATAGACTGTACAGTTGAAAAATACATGTATGGTATACAGAATTTGGCTTTTATCATTTGCCCATACTTTTTGCAAATAGAAAGCCTTCTGGTTCATTGAACGGTACTTTACCACCATCACTAATTTCCTGTTTTCCTTTTTGAGCTGATAAAGGTCCTTTGATCTAAATCAAATTCTTTATTATTTAGGTGTAGTTACATGGATAATTGATAAAGAGGCTTGCAAGATGTATTACACATGTACACATAACTATGTTTTTTATTGAGATAATAATTATATAATTAGAAGTATTGCTTGGTTAAAATTTGATGGCTGCACTGAACTAATCAGGTATCTTTAAAGTAATTAAAAAAATCTCGCAAAAAAAAAAAAAAAAAAAAAATTGAAAACACCTCACCTGGAAACTCTTTCAGAATTGAGAAGTCTCGCCAGATTTTCCCAGCAATGATCCAAGCTGCTGAAAAGTGTCCTAAAGGAAGCCAACTGAACTGGAAATACTTTTTTGACCTGCTTTTCACTAGGAAGAATCTCAAACTGGTCCACATTGGCTGCCATGTGAAAGGAGAGCATGAGGGATTTGAATGTCAATCCAGATCTTTTTACGTGAAGTCAAGGCGGTAGCATATTGCCGTTTTAGAGTGATTTTACAATAATATAACTATTTCTAACAATTAGGATAAAATTATGTGATGATTTCTCAAAATGAATATTCATTCATTTTATTAGGGACCAAACAAAGCAAAGCAAAACAAAACAAAACAAAACAAAAGAAAGAAGGAAGGAACGAAAAAAGTCACAAAACTCGAACTGGACCACTCTATCGGCCCGTTTCTTTTATACTGTTAAAGAAATAAAGAACCTGAAACTATGCAACAGTAACAAAAATCATTTGAGAACGGGAGAGAACTTTTTTAAATTGATGGTTTGTTTACAACCTTCATGGTCTCTATTTGTACACGCACAAAAACATGAAAACATGGTGGTGTGTGCTTTATGGAAGGGATCAAGGAATAAGTCTTTGTACTCTGATGAAGACCATAGCCGAATAATTTTGCTCCCAAGGTGGAGAAAAGCGAACTCGATATGAGTCGCGAGTTGAAGCTTGGATATAATGGTAAGATTTTGAAAATTTTTGGGTGATTTTTTGACGAGATTTGTCTGGACTCCATGCGCTGCACAGGTTCCCAAAACGTGTACATGGGACCAAACGAAAGTTACACGACAACAAACACAGTACCGATCACAACTGACGAAATAAAGACACGATGTATATGCACTTATAAATCTTTTAATATCGAATGTAAAATACGGAGGAGGTATTTTGACACTTTAAATGGTGTCTGCTTAAACAAATGGCCCGAGTTCATACACTGTGCTATCTTGCCTCAGAATGTTCTATATATGGCATTAAAAGCTTTTAACCCTTTCGACACCTCTTTAGAGCCAGACACTACTCTGTAGTTGTATTGAGCTGAAGTGTGGTATTTACAAACAATGCGGCAAAATTATTTTTAACATGACAGTTTGGAGATCCTAACGTACATCGAGACAGCTACCCTTATTGATTGGGCATGTACTCTTTAAGGAGAATGCGCATGCCAATCAGGCTTAGCACTAACGGATTGTACCCAGGTCCCCATCCTCACGGCCACTAAATGTTGACTTGAAGACGTGTTTGACATGAGCTGTGCTGAGCTTTCATATAATTCTATTCAGCTGCCTCCACAATTTTATTGCGGATTACTCTAAATATAAGTAAGTTATATTACTATCTACATTCAATAGCTTCCTTTCGACACTGTACAAACTACACTATACAACATTGTCTTGCAAATGAATGCATTGTTCCAGGAACAGAGTTATTAGTCCTCGTGATGTTTGGCAGTAAAGTTATTGCTTTTCTGTTGTTCAATTTTCGCGCCGGAGTGAAAGGTCTGGCGCCGAGTGATTGTATCTTTTGTATTAGCAGCACTCCCTGGTATCGTGCCAGCAATGTCTTTCGACAGCAGTCCTGGTGGCATTATCACAATCTGTAATGAAGCTTGCGTATTTCGTTTTATGCCCGCGGTATCTCGCGCAACGATTGTTGTTCGGAAGGACTTTCGAGGAGTGACGTAGCAGAACAGCAGGAGACTCCTTTGGGTCTTGATTTTCCCGCCATTGGTGATAAAGAAGTGATCCAGCTTACTCTGAAATCTATATCTTGTCCGTAGGTTTCCCGCGTTGTCTTTTTCAGTAGTACGCACACGATAAACAGTCGTATCGCGTGACGTGTTACAAGGAACTTTAAGATAATAGGAGGCTTGCGTAAAAGATAGCGACTCTTCGCTTTGATGTTCTCGAATGTCGATGAGTACAAACGCTTTGGCTGATCGATTCTGCACTCCATTGGAAGTGTTGGGCAGTTGAAAACTAGCCTCGACTTCAAGTAAGAAATTGCGCATTTCATCCATGTCGAGTTTACCACTGACCATGATTTCCCCAGTTTTGAAATTGATTGTAAATATTGCTGGTTGCTTGAGGTTCTCGGACAGGAGAGAGTATGTGATAATGCGTTTTTGAGGAAAGGTTCTTGCTTCCACCTTAGTAACCACTGTGTTAGGTTGTGCATTTTCGCTCACGGCCACCGTATATTGGTCCTGGTAGAAGGAAATTTCTGTCAAGAAAAGGAGAGGAAAACAAGAGGTCTACAGTGAGGAAAAGGAAACAATCGAATGACTTAATGTAACTTAATTAATAATTATCATGAACTGAAGATGGAAAAGAAACTTACTATTTTCAAGGAGGGACACGAAAAAGGAACGGAACATCTGATTCTATGACTAATAAATGACTGCTTGTGTCTGTTCGATTAAGACGAAGCTATCTTCAGGTACTGTTCACGATGAAAACGATTTTATATTTAGAATGGGGTTCATGTGCCAGAAGTGTCAGAAGTGCGTTACTGGGTACAAACGACCTACACTAAAGTAATTCGGTTTACTTTGCTTAAACTATTTCCTCGCCATGTGTTTTTTGGACGCTTTATTCAGATATTGACTCGACACTGTCCCTGTGTTACCCAGTTATATCGATTTGCGAGACATTTAGCTTACGTTCTCGAAAGTGTTTCTGAATAAATCAACATCTTATACACCGAGCTTTCTTGGTACGTATGGGCGAATCTCGACCTTGATCTTGAGTACAGACCTCATTGTGTTAGGTCTGTACTGAGTATATATACTCACGACCTCGTTTGCGATCAGTACTTACACACTGATCTCCCGTTTGGTGTTAAGAAGCAAGTTTATCCAGACAGTTTAGATTAGGCAGTTGTTTCTTACTTTGCATTTGGCCCCGAGCTGGTTCCCAGAGTCCTAGAATGTTACCAAAACGCTCGCGGCGGTAGATGAAAGAGACCCTAGGAACGGGGTGACAGGGGTTTTACGCGTTCTTCGATTCATCCTCAACCCGTTAAAATAAAAATGACATGAATATGATTTATTAATAAAATCCTGACACGAAGAGAGCGGCTTTTAGCCAATTTTTCTGTGGTCAGTTTTTCCATCACGCATTTAATTCCCCAGAGGGTAATTTATCGCAATGAATGTGATATTGTTTCTCCGATCGTCGATCGCGGACAGAAATTAAAGACCGCCTAAACGTTTCTTCTAAGTTCAAGCTTCTCATGAGAGAGATAATGTCGTTATTGTTACCTGGATAACACGTCTTTTTATTGGAATGAAGAGCGTAACCATCTGGGCATCCACAGCGGTACGAGGACCTGGAGTTGACACAGAAGTGCGAACAGCCGCCATTACTCTTGGTGCACTCATTTTTATCTGCTGAGGAAAAAGAAGAAATTGAATTGGTTGGTGGTAATTAAGAACCAAAGCAGAATAAACAACAGGTAAGCAGCGCAGTTTTTGACATAAACATGTTCAAAGGATTATGCCTATGTGGAGATATATAGTAAAGATTGTGAGGCGGTTGTTGTTGGGAGCGTATTCGAACACACCTTAGCGAGATTTACAGATCTTAACAAGGTACAGTGCTGAAAACACAAAAGTGCAACGCTAGATTATTTTGTAATTATTTTGAGCAGATCAAGATTTCACAGATCCATGTCGACTGTGTAGAGACGTGGCATAGTAGAGGGCAAAACAGGTCGAAACTGTGTATGATTAATGACCTGTTAATTAATCCAGCGAAAGATCTTAAAAATCTGATGAACACTTTGGAAGTCGAACCAAAATAGTAACAGAAAGACACAAACCGGGATATATGCGGGACATGTACGATTTATTATTAATTTTTTTTTTATACGTTCATATTTTAGCTGCAATCGATGGTTTTGCGGTCCAGTTGTGCAGCACATGTATCTTGCATGCAAAATCAAACAAAATAGACAGGCCACTAGCTTATTTTTCTTATTAGTGCCTCCGAGTTTTCCTTGATAAGCCAGGTGAAGGAGCCATGCATGATTTCCTTGATAAGCCATCGCACAATACAAAGCAGAAATCGAAAGACCAACGTCAGAATTTGTGAATTTTGGATGGAAATGGAAATTTGGATGCAGCGATGTTCTAGCCGTACATTCCAGGGGGAAATAATTTATTATGAATACTTCTGATTTTTTTGTCACATGACCAATCGATGTACAAGGCTTATTTTGAGCGATTGAAGGCCCCCTTGCGTGTAGGAGCTTTCACATGAATCGAATGGATTGCACATTTTGTTCCTCGACAAGTTTCACTGAGTTTGAATAACCCATCAAGTAGTTTCTGAACTGTTTCTCTGTTTGAAGTTGACCTGTCCGAATATTGTGCAGTATTACTAAATAGAGGATAAACAACTTGCCAACCAACAACATATGTGCAAGATTAAGAGGTTACTGCTGAGCCAAATAATCGGCATTTAATGAAAATGATGTGTTGCGGTGACGCCGAAACTGTCAGACAGTTTCAATCCTGAGTTTGGTGGTCCTTGCTGGGTTTGTTTTGCACGTGTAAATAGTCTATTGTTGTCTTTGTTCAATATAAGTAGTTGTAACAGTGGGACAGTCCACAAACAAGCTATTTTATTTTAAGCTGTAATTTCCGATTAAATCACCTGTCGTGAGATAAGGCCCGGCACTTGCTGCTAATTTTATAAATGACAATGAACTTGCATGAGCTGTCGTGTCACGAAATCACGTATAAATTCCTTGTTTTCCTGGCCTTTCTTCCATTTGCAAGTATAGTCCATATGATTTGTTCTTTCCAGTATAATTACCGGGGAATGATTTTGAGTAGGCGAAGGAAAACCATGCAGAATTTTAAAATCATAAATCGTCTAGGAAATTAGTTGCAATTAAGCTTTGACACTTTCTCAGTGGTACGTAACGTAACCTTTTGCTCTCTATAACATTTTCCGTTTCACGAGGAGGCAATCTATGAAAAAAGCTCGCGGTTAAGGTAATCTTAATACGCAATATACACAGGGCAAACTGCATTGGCCTTCAACGTTACATATTTGGTCTGTGCGTTCTTAAAACGTTTTTCGCACTTAATTGAGTGTTGAGTGATTTATTTTTTCAGAATTTAGCGCGGAAATGGAAAAAATGAAATAGGGAAAAAAGAAGCGAAATAAAGAGACAACGGTAATACGCGTACGTTCTTGCAGTCAAGGGTTTTGGCGGGAAATTGTCGGACACAGGTTGCAAATCTTGACGTCACGAGACTGCCGCTCGACTGAATGAAAATTTGACGAGTAGGGCCGGCCTTGCTGTAATTGGAGATTCCAGTCTTCAACTACGACTATAAAATGGGAACAAAATTTCGTTCTTTAGCTAAAAAAGTAAGTATTTAATAGCGTGATTATGATGTGTAGGCGTTCAGTTGATGAACGAATGCTCTGGATAACCTAAGGTGTACCCGACCCAGCAGTTTCTATTTCAGTAGAAATAGGCACATAAGAAATAATTTGATCTACTTTCCGTTTTCTCAGGAAGTTTTAGGAAGATTAATTAACGTGTTTTGCAGGGGTTTATTTTCATCCGCGACGTTCACGGCATGTTCGTGCATGGAGGTCAGCTGTCTTTTGAGGTAAAGTCACGGTTACGTAAATAGAGATGCTAGTCAAGAATTTCAATCACCTGTGAGAATTTTGAGGTGTTTGAGAGCGAGGGAGAGGATGTAAAATTGAATTGTTGGGAATTAGCGCTCGACCGCCAGAGTGTCACAATCAATTTTGTTTCATTCCGATGTGCATTGGCAGTGAAAATATTTTTACTAACCATGTTATTAGAATCAAAAGAGAGGGAGTTCCCCTTCAAATCTTTCACAAGCCATCTCAGTTTAACTGGCTTCTCGCCGACTCAGTCGAGTGAAACAAACTCTAGAGGGCGTGGAGGTAGAGTGTGGGGTAAACTTGTTCAGGGATTACCATGTATCAAAAATAGTTTCCTTTACACTATAGTTATAGTGATGTCAATGTTCTTTAGCAAAAGCACGGAAATGGAAGGAGGAAGGTTGGAGCCATTTTGAAACGAATATTGTAACAGAATGCATTGCATCAGGAGACTTGAGGTTGCCCTCAATTCTCTGATACCAAACCAGAGGCGCTCAATGTATGTTACACCCCGTTTATATTAATTGGCCTAAGAAGGAGGATAACCATGATCAGTATTACAATTCTACTGTGTTTAAAGATATAAAGAAGTCAATCTTTTGGGCGGCAACGCTGCAAAGTTTAACTACATCTAAATAGGCGCCGGTTATACACGAGCAAACCTCTCACTGAATAAAGGAACATTGCCTAAGTCAGCTATGTAGCTAGTGAAGTCAGTATTTTTAATCGTACTCGAAAAATTCATCAGACTTTTACAGTTACAATGCTCAATCAATACTTGTAAGCAAATCTAAGTCTCGAATAATAAAAAAATAACAACTTGCAAAGCGTTGTTACTACTATATAATTTACTCTAGGTCTCCACTTTTTATAATGTTCTGCTACTAGATTTTTTTTTCTTTACACATAAATTGGTTATGAGTTCAAAAAAGTAAAACCACGTGTCTGTGTCCTGGCAAAAAAGGAGGATATACTTATTCTAAAAATTACTTATTCAATATATTGCGAAAGATTATTGACAAAAACTAGGAATTTTTAAATCGATACTAGATTTGAAATTAGGGTTACTGCTGTTGTCCGCTTTGCGGATCCGTTCTTTGCTTAAGAAATATTGCCTTAATGCTTTGAGCTATTCTGCCGCCTTTGGTTCAGTAGTGCATCCTCAGAGCCCACTGCCTTCACTTATAGTGTCATTACCTCTACACCTTCTCCCATCTGGCGCTTGCTTAAAGCCTCTCTTGCACATACAGTAATAGCTTCCGTCTGTGTTCACGCACTTGTGGTCACAACGCCCATTTGCTATCTTGCATTCGTCGATGTCTGAAAAAGGGCAACACTGATATTAAAAACTCGGCTAAAGTCTATGAAGTCAGTTTGAAAACATTTTTCTTTTTAACATATTGATTGTAGCTTAAAAAATCTTCCGAACTTGAAAGATATCCTAAACACCAGAAATTGAAGAGAGTAAACTTAGAAAGGGATTCTGCAGCTACGGGCTGACAGAGAACAGTGGCGGCTGGGAACATATTTGACTCAATCAGGGCAAACAATTCGAAAAAAGAAAGAAACGAGGCAGGTTTAACAGGGTTTTTTGCCCTCTTAGTCGTGCTGACCACGCCCAACATAAAACACACTATTAATGGTCTGATTTTCGAAAAGGAAAAAAAAGAATTTCGTTGCGTCAACTTCACGGTATTGCATTTTTTTTCTCGTGATTGGCGTTTGCCCTCCTTCTATACGTCTCAAGAGTTCTCTAAACAGTATTAGGTCTGCAACGAACTACAGCGAGACTCGTAGAAACATGGCAATAATATGGCACACTAAAGCGTCAAGAAGTATTCTTCCAACAGTCAACGAGGCTGCCATTTCTCTGAGATGACTCTGACTTAGATCGAGAGGATCACTGAACATAAAGTTTTGACCAACCTTCGCAGCGTGCTGAGTCCTTTGGTCCTCTGTTTGCGTATCCTTCAGGACAGTCACAAGCGTAGCCTCCGTACGTGTTTCTACACAGGCTGGGAAATGTGCACACTGGACGCTTGCATTCGTTCTCGTCTATATGAAAAAAAAAAAAAACCTGGAAGTTAAACGCGTACCTATGAAATGCATGCTATTCAAATGAAACGTTTTAGCTTTCAGAATATTCTTTTATTTCGTCTTAACTGTAAATGTCAGCAACTTCTAAACAACAGATTGACCAGAGTAAGTCAAGCTGACTATAGGTTTCTTATTGTCTCACGTTACATATATTTGTTTAGTCTAGGGTAGAAACGAAGAGTACAAAGCTGCAGAATTCAGTTCGACCAGTCACAAACAATTTGATTTAAAATCATATAGGATCTTACCAATTGACATGTACGAAATGTAGAATCCCTTGCCAGTGGTACCATTGTCGGAACGAAATCGAATCCATACGGCGTTTTGCGGTGTTATAATTCCATGCGGCCTTGCACCACCGCAGTATATCAGTGGGTTGCGAAACTGCTTTGAAGTAGACAGCATGACATAGTCCTTCGTGCATCCTGGTGAATCTTCCAAGTCAAATTGGCGTCGAAAGCGAACTTTGATACGGAATCCACGGGGCACTTGCACGTGCCAAGTACATTGTGAGTTTACCTGATACCCTTGGGGGTAGTTTGGGGAGCGGATTGTTCCGGTCGTTTGGGCGAGGTGAATTGTTTTCTTGTCACATCGCGGTAACAGAGTGGAATTAACGGCGGCTGTTGTCTTTATTGCTGTGTCAGAAACTATACAAAATAAATAAGCAATTAGAGTATTTCTTCGAGAAGAGACTTTAAAAAGCCCTGATATGTAATCTGTCTACCTTGAAATCTAGTTCGTTTAGTTATCTGTCTTGTCCGTTTGGGTTCTGAATATATCACTAGGATTTTTGGTATCCCCCCGGTTTCGCTTCAAAACTTCTTAAATGACCTTGTTTTTATACTTACTGAAAGAATGTGCTTACCGTTTTACTGTATCTTTATCATTGCGTTCTAAAAGTATTTGCACTCGGATGAATCGTTGCTTTACTGACAAACGTCGCTCAATCTTTTTCGTGAGACAAAGCTGCTAAACTTGCAAAAACCCGTTAAATCCTTTAAATAGGACGACTTCCTCTAACCCGCCTACTTTAATCCAGTGAAATTGTCCCAAAAATGTACTATATTGGTGACAAATTGATCAAAGGACAAGCTAAATATACGGCTCAAAATCGAATGGGACTTAGTCCGTAGGTAAGCCCATCGTCGTTCGATCTCTAGTACAGAACCCGACAATAGAGTGCTTCTTCCATAGTCCGACCACTTTAAAACAAGAGTTCATGCTTGAAACTTCCAGAGACCTCTCCAGAATCAAACATTGACCTCCCATATCAGACCATGGAAACTGATACGCACACTTGTTAGTAGAAAATACGAAAGAATACCCATTTAAGGAAACGTCCCTCTTGAACTGTTTTAACAAGGTAGCTCTCAACACACAGTTATCAAGCCAGGTATGAGGCCCCACGCAGCTATGGATAAATACCTGGCTTGATAATCTAAAGGACATGAACATCCTAACTTGCAATACTATAAGCCGTGCAGATAAATAAGCAGCCATCAAGCCTTTCGCAGCTAGATGTCGTGTTTGCTGTGCTTTTAATGAACTTTCAAAGAACTGAGAAAAAATACAATACTAGTAGTAGTAACAATCTTTTATTAGGAAGCTCCATCACTAAAAGTGGTTTACATAGAGGTCCTAATACTAATACTGAAAGGAAAAGAATACAAAGAAAGTCACTGGTATAGAATTCAACGTTTTACGAAGCGTTTTGGTGTTTTAGCATGTCTCAAGCAGATTTAAAATGAAATGAAAGGTTCGGCACCTGTCCACGTACGTGTGCGAACAAATTTTTGCTCTTCTGACAGCGACGACAATGAACATTCTCGATAAAAATAAGGAACATCTTTTGAACGCGTTGCTGAAACGATTTTGTATTTGCTCTGCAAAAGTGTAGTTGTTTTCTTCTTTTGTTGTTGTTCAGAAGCGGCGTGGTCTTCAAGACAAGACTGACATTCAATGATCTGTTAATGGCTGAGCTATAAAGACCGTGCAATAAGCCGACGTATTTACTTCTTGACAAAATGGAGGCTCGTTTGAACATCGTTATTTATTGTAAAACTAGCTTCGGGCTTTGTCTGAATGAGACACATGACTGAGCGGTACTTTTAGTAATGAATATAGATGTCGAATGGTTACGAGCAGATATGCTATGGCACGTAATGGGAGCCACATATGTACTTAGCTTGCTGAGATTAAAGTTTCTAAAGTTTCCGTCTATAAATAATTACAAGGCTACTAGGAAGAGATAAACTCTATTTCCGACCAAAATGATGTAATTATCTTTACAGAGCGAGGGCTGACTAAATTTACACGCTATGTCAACAAGAGTAATAGAGCCGACTAAACGATGCTATCACGATATAGTGATAAAATTTAACCAAATTGGAAAAAAAACACGATCAGCGATGAAAAGACGGTATCAGGCTATAAAAAGTAACACTCCTGAAAAAACATTTCTGAGTAATTACAAAAACAAAAATTGAAGCGCGAACATGTTGATGAAAAACAATTGGAAACTCTTTAAACCAAGAGCAAGCTATTGCCAAGGTGCTAAACCATAAGCAGCTATGTTAACTTCTCCTGTTTCCAGAATTTAACATCGTCTTGAAGAATTTACGTCGCAGCTAACACTGATTCGTTGCATCCCTGCTGAAACTTTATTTGAATGGCTTTGAAAGTAATAAAAGCTTCCTTTTTTAGCATTTAGTCAAGTAGGTCTGGGCTTTTTGTGTAAAGGTTCTTTCAAGACTGATTAACTATCGCCAGTTAGTCTACCATAGGAGGCCCCAAGTGACCAATTGTATATTTCAGCTTGAACGACCGCCTTTATTGAAAAGCGGACAATTAAATGACACGCTTGTTAAAGAAAGTGAAAATGTTTTCGGTATCTAATCCGGTCACGTATTTGCTTAACAAATGGCGGTCTTACTCTTATAACAACTTCATTTGAATACGAACTATACGGCTTACCTGTTCCACGCCTCGCTCCTTTGCATCCAGGCACAGCCGAAACGCTGTAAGATAAAATACATTTTATTCAGTTCTCAAAATTGTTTCAACTTGAATAATGCATGCTACTTAAAAGTAATTGAAAAGCAGCCTGCTTATCAACTCAACTTCGTTTGGACACAGAAAAATATAGTCCAAACTGCATGCGAATACCAGACGGACGTGCAAAGTGTACAGGCAAACAGAGCGAGGCCTAGCACTTTGCTACTTTCTGAAACCCTATGATAAATACTGTTGTTGTCTTTGACTGAAGAAACTCGCCACGCGGTCAATCTTCACAAGTCACCGAACTCAGAAAAAAATCTCCTCTCATTCCACACCAAAGTGGCTTTAAATCTTTACACACTAAAGTCCTTACGCTGGCGTCTTTCCACACTAAGCCAGAGCTCCATATATTCCTCAAGTGCTTTGCATTATATCATAGTGAACATCTAAAATAGTTTTTACTTACGCAAGGATCGCGAAGAGAATAGCAAAAATTGCAGAATCGTTCATGGCTGACCGACGTTCTCCAGAAATCAAGTTATCGCATGTACATTCCGGATCTAACTGAACACTGTTATACCTCGCGTATTTCATAAATCATCTTTGATGGCGTTTGGCATTCCTTTCGAGGGTACATTTCCAGCCAATCAATAAAAACCAAAGGGGCAAATATTCTTCCTGTATAAAGAGTGAGTATCACAATACATTACACAACACGAACCGTGGAATTGTCTAATGGGATAATCAAACGAGGCTATTACGGCGGATTACCGAAGTTTAGTCGTTGACAATTGTTCCAATAAACTTTGGACACTAATTGCACAGTACAGCAGGAAATGCGACTCTTGGCTGCTTGAGTTTTAAAGATGTGGTTATCCTTTTAACACGTCAAAACCTCTGCCGGTCCCGCTTTGTAATTGCTGAAGAAACAAAAATGAATCTAATCGCCTCCAAATGTACTTTGAGTTTGGAATATCAGTTAAGTGAACTAAATTTAGTTCACCTGAAATTGCCAGACAGTTAAAAGAGGACCCAAACGAAACCGAAAGGGGAAACCCAATCTTGTAGTTTTGGCCTTAAGATTTTGAGAGCAACCCCAATTCATCAAAGTCAAAAAACAGGGAACGTGAAACGCAACCACCGCCTTTATCAACGGCGGCACACTTTAAAATTAAGAGCATGTCGAATGTTTTATCGTTTTATTATAAATTTTTGGATTTTGCCGCTCGGTTCCCAAGTATTATGATTTCAAGGTCGCGCTTTCTTAAATCGATTCCACATTTTAAAGTTTCTTTCAACTTTAGGGTATCAGCTCTCACATACTTTAATTTCATATCTTTTTAGCCATTGCATTAGGCATTAAACTCCTCTTTGCGGTTTGACGCTGTCAGCTTTAATTCTAAGAGTAGAACCGACTATGTCAAAAAAAACAAAAAAAACAAACACTTCATTTTGCGAGGCTTTCGAAGCGATGTACATTTCTAACATTAAGTTCTAACCACTCTGTGGCAGCTACACCATTCAAGTCAACATTTCTGGGAAGAAACTTAAGGACACCCCAGCTGCGTGTAATATTGTGTTTGTGCGGCTGTAGAGACGATATGGGTGATATTCGTGTTTTCATGAACTCTTTACCAGGGGGATTAAATTTTCGCCACGAAGTCTGCATGCATTACATAGTGTCACACCTTTCTGTTTGAAAAGTACAAATCATAAATCATGTCTCTGAGAGAGCTGAGAAGACAGTTTTTATCGAGCAGAATTTCAACAAAGGTACTTAAAATACGCGAGTTGCAAGCTGGGAAGTTATGTAAATAATCCGCGTGGAACGTCAACAAAATCAGAAGGCATTTGGAATTCCAAAAAAGCAAAGTAATTTGAAGACCTTTTGAGGCAAATTAAATAATTTTGAAACAATATGTCACCGTCAGCTTCTTTCTTTTAGTTAGTTACCACAATACGTGTACAGACTTAGTCAGAACTTCTACGACGACGCTTTTTGGCGGCGCCTTGATTGAAGACACGGTGTCCAAAAAAGAAGGACTAACAAAAAAATCGTCGTCTCAAGTTATGTTTGAACAAAAAAAAAAGCTTGGCAGCCAGAACGCAAAAATAAACGTGTTCGGCTTTTATAGAATGCTGAATATTCTACGTCTTCGTCTTTAGAAGAGAACTTTAACTGAAAAGGTCTTGCTTGGGGAGTGTTGGCATCACTCATTTCGGGTGAAAATGAGTGCTTGTGCTTCTTTTGAAGACATGTCTTTCCTCGCAGATTTTGAGAAAGGATAACCGGACATGCGTGCGGTTTCTCACTCGTGTGCATTTCATGTAAAATATACCGTTTATATAATTAAACCGTTAACAGATATCAATTAGACAAACAAACGACAATTAATGGTCATCTAATGATCTGACCTAATCAGTAAAGTGCCTTCCCGTCGCCAGTGAAACCCTGCGGGTTCTTTAGCGAAGCCGAAAAGACGGCTATTTTGTGTTTTAGTTGGCTCAACTCAAAAAGAAACATGCAAGTAGGCATTGTACTGGAAAACAGGAAGAAAATGATTTAAGTACGTGCAGTCAAATTGTGGAAATAGGCACTAACTTCCTAAAGTAAACCACGAAAAAATCCAATGTTTGGTTTTGTTAAGATAGTTTCATGTCTTGTTTTCGCTCCTGCTTCATTATGGTAGCGCTCCATTCAATTTTAAACAAAATACACCCAGTCTCTAGCTTTACGCCCAGCTGGCTTTCAATCAATTTAATATGCGAATACATGTTTAAAACTTACAATCTTCCCTTAGTCGCGAAACATCTCTCTGAGTAGCAAATTTACTTTGAAAAGAAGTGGCGGTCTTGGTGTCTCGTGAACGGCGCCGCTGAGCTCGTAACCGTGCTGGTGTCAAAATTTCTCGGCGCCAAGTTAGCCATTGTCACCGTGTTTAATTGTTGTGGATCTCATTAGCACGTGCGTAACAAGCAATAACCACTAAAATACGCTAATGAAAGCGTCACGAATCCGGTCTGAAATCCGCCTAGTATGTCTAGTATTGTGATAAGCTTATTTCTAAACTCTTGGCAAGGGTACTTCAGGCATCTCTATATCACGTCTTGTTAGTTATTAACGCGTTTGATAGAGAGCCATGACATTTTGTGCCGTGGTGGTTAACCAGTGTCTCAAAAAGGTATTCCTTGACGAATGCTTTTCTTAACGACAAGAAGTGATACTTCAGCAAAAGCTGGAATTTTTAGTTCGCTCCAAAGCTGTCGATTTCACCGCACATCTGTAACGGCACAAGAAAAGCTTCTGGCACGTTCTATAACCGAAACAAGATGGCGTTGTGTAAAACAATATCGTATTCTGTTATCTTAAATGGTATCTTTATGACAAGAGATGCTATACACATGATAAGATGGAAAGTCGCTAAAAATCTTTTAGGACAAGTACATTTGTAATATAATTTAACATATGTAATGTTATTAAACGAAGAGTACAGTACTGTCTAATCATTGACCTAATTTTAAAGTCATGATAACTTGGCTAATATCAGGCGTTTGTTTGTCTCGAAGAAAATATGAAACCATCGCTATCAAGCGTGTCATAAAGCTCTAATTATACTATATTGTATGAATTTCAGTGACCAGGAATGAAAA